ACCCTAAACCGTATAAGCCCTAAGCCCTAAACCCTAAACCCTAAAACCCTTAACCCTAAACCCTAAACCCTATAAACCCTAAACCCTAAACCCTATAAACCCTAAACCCCTTAAAACGCCCCCAGGCCGATGCTCCAGCAGTACGCGGCCTTTCTGGAGGAGCAGGGCCTTGAGGCCCAAGGCGGGGCTTAGGGTTTAGGGTTTAGGGTTTAGGGTTTTAGGGTTTAGGGTTTTAGGGTTTCGGGTTTGGGGTTTAGGGTTTAGGGCCCCCCCAAAACCCCCATAAACCCAGCATCCAAACCCAAACTGCAAGAACACCCTTCGCCAAAACCCAAAGCCCCAAAGCCCCCAAGGCCCCCAAGGGCCCCAAAACCCGCGAAACTCCAAGCCGCCCCGAGCTCGCTTGGCTCAGGTCCAAAGGGGCCTGAGCCTGCTGGCTATGCCGCCAACACGGCGGCAGAGGGCGCAGGCAAGCACCAGAGATGAGCAGAGGCTCAGGCTTTAGGTTTAAGGCTTTGAGGGTTCATGGGTTTGGGGTCTAGGCTTGAGGGGTTAGCGGTTAGGGTTCAGGGTTGAGGGTGCGGTTCAGAGCGGTCTGGCTTCAAGGAACTTTCCCGGAACGCAGGCTGGCAGCAGCTTCTCTGCAAGCTCCATGCGACCCCCAACGGAGCGACTCATGTATGACTCTGTTCAGAACCTCCGGCCAGGCACGGAAGATCTGGCATCTGCCAAGACGGCAGGTGCTGACACAGGCGCATGCGAAGCATCCGCTGTTGTAGTTGTGTTCTGATTCCGGTTGGGAGATGCCTTCGGACTGCGTTTGAAGAAGACTTTGAAGAAGACTACTACTACTACTACTACTACTACTACTACAACTACTACTACTCTCACGATTATTAGTAGTATTATTATGATTGCTATTATTTCTATTATTACTACTATTATTCTTAGTCTCATTGCTATGGTTACTACTACGTTTAATTATATATATATATATACACATATTAAGTTGTGTTACATAGCTTTATTACATTGGAACATATGATTATGCTTTTTTATGCTATCACACCGAGGGGGGGCTGGGTCTCCCAGTACCCTAAACCCTAAACCCTAAACCCTAAACCCTAAACCCTAAACCCTAAACCCTAAACCCTAAACCCTAAACCCTAAACCCTAAACCCAAACCCGAAGCATGGAGGTGCAGGTAGCTCGGCGGAATTGGCGCTGGCTGCCGGCGCACGTGCCCGGTCTGAACCGCCCACTCAGCGATTCCAATTTTATCCTGAGTATCTAAAGTCTAAGAATTTCTGCCTCAAACCATATCAGAGTAAGGACCGTCAAATTTGTTACCATTGATGAGACGGTTTTGGAGAAGTCGCATCCGAGGTGAGGGACGGGAGGAGGTGGTGAAGGCGCTCCTCCAGGCAATCCTGCTTAAGAGCGATGTGATTTCTCCCAGAGATTTGAGATTCTGCTGCACCCATGCGAGGCGAGGACCCGGACGCCTTACATTACAGTGTAACCCATGCACCTACCCTGAACCCTGAACCCTAAACCCTAAACCCTAAACCCTAAACCCTAAACCCTAAACGTGTGATCTGCCACTCTCGACGCAACCGAATTTCTTGAGACTCCTGCGAGCAGTGCCTCGGCGTATCCACAAGGGGCGAAAGGACAACTGTTGAGCCTGCAACTCTTGTTCCTCAACTAATACGGTTTAGGGTTTATGGTTTAGGGTTTAGGGTTTAGGGAGGGTATGGGGGTGCAAGTAGCTAGAATTAGGTTTTGGAGCATCTTATACTGCTACATCGGGAACTGCACAGGGCGTACTGTAAGGTAGGCTGACGCCGACACGAACGTCCTCAAAAGGATACCCTAAACCCCAAACCCTAAACCCTAAACGACGTGGTTGTAAGTGTATGGTTCTCAGCCCTCCCCGGCCTCCCATCCCGGAGATCCTACCCGTCCTTGCCGGTCCTTGCAGAATGGGCAAGGGCCGTGGCCCTAAACCCTAAACCCTAAACCCTAAACCCTAAACCGTATGAGTATGTGTGTGGCAGGTTCATGTATGTCCATGCTTTGCGGACTGTCGACATGACGCTTCAGAGAGACAGGTGGGGACATCGCCCAATGGCAGCGCGAGGGGAACGCCACCCAGGTTCCCCATGGGAACACACAACACACCACTGGCTTCGGGAGTCCTTCTGCTTCACTTTCTAGCAGTTGGAGCTTTAGAGCTCTTTACAGGGAAGTGTTGCCTGGAGCTGCCACCAAGATGTTTTGTGTGCAGGGGTCACACGCCTCTGCATGCCGCCTGCGCTGCAGGGCATGCAGGCTGGGACAGGAGTGATCTCAGGGTTTAGGGTTTAGGGTCTCAAACAGTTTGGGTGTGGTGAGGGGTAAGGCGTTGGGGAGATGATTCTTTTCACGGGAGACTGGTTACCCTCAGTGCCGAAGGTGCACGGTGTGGGCGCAGCTAATTTCATTCAGTGGATGTATGTCCAACACCACAAACCGGAAATCTGAGTCTGATCTATCCGACAAGTCTCAAGCACAGAAACCCTAAACCTTAAACCCTATTTGGAGGATCATAGGACTTGGTAAGTATGGTTATAAGTACCTTAATTGGGGTTACAAGTCGTGATAAGTAGTTACCCATGATCCTTTAAGTAAACTTTATCAAGCAGAGTCCCCGACCCAGCGCAAGGCATCGTGAGGATTCTCCTGGCCGCTCGAGCGAATCTCCGCGCCATGACCGAGGCCGAGCGCCCAAAACACCTCAAGTGTCGCGCCTTTTCCCATGGACAGTAAGTAGTATAATGGTATCATGGACCCCAAAACCATGTTCTAATCAATTAAATGAATTTTGGTATAATGGACCCCAAATAAGCCCTGTTCTAATCAGTTATAGTAATGGACCCCAAGACCTTGGTCTAATTAGTGATAGTATCATGGACCCCAAAACCCTATTCTAATCAATTACAGTCTAATGGACCCCAAAATCCTATTCGAATCATAGTATAATGGACTAGTATAATGGACCCCCAAACCCGTATAATGGACCCCAAAATCCTATTCGAATCATAGTATAATGGACCCCAAGACCCTATTCTCATGATAATATAATGGACCCCGAAACCCGTATAATGGACCCCAAAACCCTATTCAAATCAAAGTATAATGGACCCCAAGACCCTATTCCCTAAACCCTAAACCCTAAACCCTAAACCCTAAACCCTAAACCCCAAAACGAGTCGCTCACAGGCGCGGACGAGCCCGGCACACCTGGCAGCGGCCCAGGGGGCGCCTCGGCCGATCCGAGCGTTCTCCGGGGTTTCGAGTTGTGATAAGCGCGACTCGTTTTGGGGTCCATTATACTATCATTAGAATAGGGTTTTGGGGTCCATTATACGGGTTTCGGGGTCCATTATATTATCATTAGAATAGGGTCTTGGGGTCCATTATACTATGATTCGAATAGGGTTTTGGGGTCCATTATACTATGATTCGAATAGGATTTTGGGGTCCATTATATCTTGATTAGAATAGGGTTTTGGGGTCCATTATACTATAATCAATGTTGAACAGGGTCTTGGCGAAACTCTAAATTACCTAAATCCCTCAACCCTAAATCCCTAAATCCCAAAACCCTAAATCCCTAAATCCCTAAACCCTAAATCCCTAAACCCTAAACCCTAAATCCCTCAACCCTAAATCCCAAAACCCTAAACCCTAAATTACCTAAATCCCTAAACTCGAAACCCTAAATCCCTAAACCCTAAATCCCAAAACCCTAAATCCCAAAACCCTACACCCTACATCCCTAAACCCCAAACCCTGTGCCCAAAGCCGCGGCGAGAGGATGCTGGCATCCTCGCCCAGCTCCTGGCCCTCGAGGGCGCCGAGGCGCGGGCGGAGGGTTTCCGAAAATTCGGGTACCTCATTTTGGGGTCCTTAAAAAAAGGATCCTACTCCTATATACTCTTTAGGGTCCCAAATTGGGGTCCTTACAACAAGGATCCTACTCCTGCTATTTAGGGTCCTATATATTTTGGGGGAGGCGGAGGGAGGCCGGGGAGGGACGTCGGTGGGTTCGCGGTTTCCCCGCCATTTGCTGCAGGGCGTGGCCACCTGGGCACGAGATGCAGACCAGCCGCCTGGCTCAAGACATCCAAAGACCTGGGGAGCAGTCGCAGAGCTAGACCCTCCATCTACCCTCTAAAAAGGCTCTAAATACCCTTAATTTGGGACCAGATACCCCTACTTGAGGGTACTTGGAGGGTCCTGGAGAGCTGGTTCTGAAGAACGGGTCCGCGGCAGAGGGACCAGTCAGTTCGCTGTCTGAGGCAGACTATCCTCCACCTGGCCGCGAGGCGCACCGTGCCAAAGCTACGTCGATTCCGGGTCACCCTCAACCCTAAACCCTAAACCCTCCCACTCGAAGAGCCGACAAGCAGCACTACCTGATAGCAGGTCGCTTTTTTCACTTCGCGACGCCCTGCCCGGCTTGCAATCTCGACGGCTACCTGTGGGTTCTTGATCGAACTGAACCGTAAACCTACACCCCTCAACCCCTAGACCTTAAACCCTAAACCCCGAAACCCCTAAACCCCCCAAACCCTCGACCCCTAAACCCTAAACCCCTCAACCCCTCAACCCCTAAACCCTAACCCCCCAAACACCTAAACCCCCCCAACAAAAAAAAGGCTCTCTGCCCTGCGCCTCAGAAGGTCGGGCGAGGTGAAGGCCGTGGAGGCGGTGCTCGGGAAGGTGAAGGCGAGATCCCTTAAACCCGAAACCCTCTGCCCTAAAACCCTAAACCCTAAACCCTAAACCCTAGACCCTAAACCCTAAACCCTAAATCCTAAACCCTAAACCCTAAACCCCAGAGGGGGGGTCGCTGGTGTTTTCCGCATGTCGGTAGTGCAGTATGTTATATAGCACAACATAGTCTATTTCAGTACATCTATACAGTATATCACAGTATACTATCGTATATTACAGTATATTTTTGCAGATTACAGTATATTATGGTATATTATCGTATATTCTAGTCTACTAAAGTGTATTATAGTACATTACAGTATATTCTATAGTACACTATTGTATATTTTAATATACTAAAGTATATTCTATAATAGATTCTTGTATATTTTAATATACTAAAGTATATTCTAGAGTATCTTATTGTATATTTTAATATACTAAAGTATATTCTATAGTATTATTGTATATTTTAATATACTAAAGCCTGTTCTCGTCCCTTTTTTGCGTGTCCGGCCAGGGCCTCCGAGGCAAAGATGGCGGCCTCGAGGCAAAGGACCGCTGGAGCAGGCCCGGAGCCCGGAGAGGGGCTTGGATTTGGCGGTTTAGGGTTTAGGGTTTAGGGCTTAAGGTTTAGGGTTTAGGGTTTTTAGGGTTTAGGGTTTAAGTTTAAGGTTCAGGGTTCAGGGTTTAGGTTTTAGGGTTCAGGGTTTAGGGTTTAGGGTTCAGGG